CAGGTATTGTCTGAAAGAAAAAACATTCATTTTTAACAGAGAAATTCTTCCCAGCAGTGGCAATGTCAAGCAAATCTAACATACATTTATTTGCTTCATCCGCATTATTTAGGATGCATGACCTGGTCTATTATTGTATTGACCGTTCCATTAAAAAATGTCTACTGCTCCCAAAATACTCATTTTCATCTAATTTAAATGTATGTTTAAAGACCTGAAGCAGGCAGTTCATAATTCAAGCTGTCGGTGGTCACTTTTAAAGCCCTTCATGGCTTGGGTCTGAGTTATCTGAGGGACCGTCTCTTGCCAGTCACATCCACCCCAACCACTAGAAAGAGGAGGCAAGGAATGTTGAGGGTCCCGTCCCCTAAAGAGATACATTGGGCGGGGCTCAGAAGAAGGGACTTCTCTGTGGTGGCTCCCTCCCCCTGGAACATCATCCCTCCAGAAATTAGACTGGCCCCCACTCTGACACTCTTTCGTAAGGCCCTGAAGACCCTGAAGGTTCTGCCAGCGGGCCTGGGGAACCCAGAGCAAGATGGAGCCCATTAACCCAGAGCAAGATGGAGCCCAGAGCAAGATGGAGCCTATTTTCCAAGGCGCCTGAAGGCAGGACAAGAAGCAACGGATGGAGACTAATCAAGGAGAGAAGCAACTTAGAACTAAGGAGAAACTTCCTGACAGTGAGAACAATTAATCAGTGGAATAACCTGCCTCCAGAAGCGGTGAATGTTCCAACACTGGAAGTTTTTAAGAAGAGACTGGACAGCCATTTGTCTGAAATGGTATAGGGTTTCCTCCCTGAGCAGGGGGTTGGACTAGATGACCTTCAAGGTCCCTTCCAACTTTACTATTATTATTATTAACTAGCTGGTATGAATGTGCATTGTCACCAGGGTGCGGGGTGTGGGAGGTGATTATTTTATTATTTTTATTTTTTATTATTTTTATTTCTTTTATATTGTGTTTTTATTTCCTGTCAGCCGCCTTGAGTCGCCATGCGGGAGTAGAAGGCAGTATAAATTTTCCAAATAAATAAAAAATAAATACAAATACCAGTTGCAACTGAAGATTTCCAATAATTAAGAGGGCACACAATATATAACTACGGATCATTTCCCCTCAATAGATCGATGAACTAGTGCAGGGGTAGGCAACCTTGGCTCTTTTATGACTTGTGGACTTCAACTCCCAGAATTCCTGAGCCAGCCATGCTGAGGGGAAAGGGAGAGGTTTCCAAGCTGAGCCATGCTGGCTCAGGAATTCTGGGAGTTGAAGTCCACGAGTCATAAAAGAGCCAAGGTTGCCTACTCCCGAACTAGTGTAATGTTTTGACTTAATTGTTTAATGGGGTTCTTTCTATCGAGTTTTAGGACTTGTGTGAAGAACTGATTCCGTTTAGGTCATATTTTTGGAAAAATACTGAACATTCCGAAAGGTTCACAAATTTTTAAGCACCAGTGTATAAAACCTACCTCTATTTTGTAGAGGTCTAAACAAGTGGTACCCCAATCTTTCCACATTTATCCATATCCTAGTAAGAATCGGGCTGGTATATTGCAAGGTGTTATTTGTGGGGCTGCCTCTGAAGACTGGTCATAGCTAGACAGTGGATCTAATTTATTATGGAAACTCTTTAAGAATGACCAAGGAAGCCTCCCACAATTCTTAAATAATAACAACAACGACGACGACGACGACGACGACGACGACGACGATGATGATGATGATGATGATGATGATGATGATGATGATGATGATGATAATATGCCTATCCCAGGCCCTTGGTAAGGACTCAATAAGTAGACAAAATGCCAAATCCAGTCTGAACATCTGGCTGACTGTGCGATGATCAATGATGATGATGATGATGATGATGATGATGATGATGATGATGATGATGATGGAAGGGATCTTGGAGGTCATCTAGTCCAAAATCCTGCTCAGGCAAGAAACCCTATACCATTTCAGACAAATGGCTGTCCAGTCTCTTCTTAAAAACTTCCAGTGTTGGAGCATTCACCGCTTCTGGAGGCAGGTTGTTCCACTGGTTAATTGTTCTAACTGTCAGGAAGTTTCTCCTTAGTTCTAGGTTGCTTCTCTCCTTGATGAGTTTCCATCCGTTGCTTCTCGTCTTGCCTTCAGGTGCTTTGGAGAACAGCTTGACTCCCTCTTCTTTGTGGCAGCCTCTGAGATTACATAGTTGTAGGTAGAGAAATACAATAGTTTTTCAGAGGGGGGTGAAGCAG